AATATACTTTTTTATAACATTCTATTTGTTATATTTAGATATATTTAATGAAACAAATAAGATAATCACTTTAACTTTATTAGTCCAAGTTAAGGGGAATTACATGGTTATATTTTGACCGAATTTAAGCTAAATCATAGTTGCACAATCATATTTAATCTAAAAAATTGAAGAAGCTGTTCGGAAAGTACCCTTCTTCTTTCTGCTATCTGATTGGTGGAAAAGAAATTACGTGATAGCATTTTCTTCTTCGTGAAAATTATGCAACTATACCGTTCTTTGTCCAGTGATTTGTGTTCGACATGTATACAACAAAAATGTTTTAAATGTTTCAACATATATAATGTTCTTATATTTATAAGTTATTTTAATACTAGCAAAAACTCTAACTAATTATATTTTATATTTTATAAGTAGTTGAATAGTTTTTGATTATAGTTTCAAGGGGTTTATTGGTCATTTATTCTTGGGTTCATCCCCTATGGTGAACCTAAAGGTTTACCCTCTATGGTGAACCTACCATCCAATAGAATTGCATCATTTTATATTTGATATCTTTTGAAAAGAGAGACAAAATCTTATTAAATTATATTTTGTGTTTTAAATATAAAATACAAAAAATAAAAAAAATAAAAATTAAGAAAAACGAAAATAATTATTTAAACAAAATATTTTAACATTGAACTCTAAAGTCTAATTTTAGGTCACTACAAGAAAACATGTTGTTTGACACCATCAAAACAGTCACAAAATAGTGGCAAATGCAATGTTTGCGACTATGTAGCGACTTTAAGAAGTAGTCGCATATCTTTGGTCGTAAATTCTTTTGGTCGCAGAGTAGTTGCTAACTTACTACTACACTATGATGACATATGCAGTCATATATTAAAGACTACTTATACACGGAATTAATAATTAAGAAAAATAAAAATAATTATTTAAAAAAAAATATTTTAACATTAAACTCTAAAGTATAATCTTAGGTAAATCATAAACCTTTGGATAAATCTATAAAAATTTAGTGTTTATGATTTACCAAAGGGTTTAGGGTTTAGGATTAGAGTTTAGGGTTTAGTGTTTATGATTTACCCAAGGGTTTAGGGTTTAGGATTAGAGTTTAAAGTTTAGTGTTTATGATTCACCAAAGGGTTTAGGGTTTAGGATTAGAGTTTAGGGTTTAGTGTTTTAGTGAAAAGATTTTTTTTAAAGATTTTTTTTATAAAATTTACCAAAGATTTATGATTTACCAAGGGGTTTAGGGTTTAGGATTAGAGTTTAGGGTTTAGTGTTAAAATATTTTTTTTAAAAGAATTATTTTCGTTTTTATTAATTATTATTATTATTTATTTATTTTTGTATTTTTATTTTTAAAAACATAATATAACTTAACAAGATTTTGTTTCCTTTTTTTAAAAGATATCAAATATGAAACGATGCAATCCTATTAGATGGTGAATTTAGAGATTCACCCTAGGGGGTGAACCCAAGAATAACTCTTTATTGGTACCAAAATCTATGTGGAGTTTAATAATTCTAAAACTGGATAGATATTTTTTAAAAGAAAAAATAGATTTATAACAAAAATTGTGTGGATTTTATCAAATATTGTAATACTCACAGTGATCCCTTATTGCGAAGTAATTTTGCTACATATCATCTCTACGATTAGTTTTACAAAAATAAAGTGACATGACTATTAAAATTGATGACATGGCTATGACAAATATGACATGAACATTTACTATTAATGTTGATTTATATTTTTGGTAAAATTTTTAAATACAGTAATAATGTATACTTTACATTTATTGTTGATATTTATTTATGGTAAAAATAATTAAAATAAGGTAATAATTCATACATCATCTTTAAATAAATATATTCAAATATAACATTAGATTTTTTGAAAGATTATCTATTTTATTTTTTATATTATACAATTTGTATTACTAAAGTTTTCAAAAATTGCTACAATTTTTCAAAAAATATAAATTTCTAATCGTCAAATCATTTGTTTCTTATATATCTACAAATTTTGTAAATACTGTTTATTCTAAATCATTAGTACACACGTCATCTTTACAATCAGTTTCACAAAAAAATAGACATAGCTACTAAAATTAATGACATGGTTTATAGAAAATATGACATGGATAATTATATTTAATATTGATTTATATTTTTGATAAACTTTTTAAATATGGTAATAACACAGAATTTACCTTTAATGTTGCTATTAATTTATGGTAAAAAAGAACTAAAATATGATAATAACTCATACATAATCTTTAAAATAAATATGTTGAAATATAAGATTAAAAATTTTGAAATATTATTCTATTTTATTTTTATATTATACAATTTGTATTACAAAAGATTTAAGAAATTGCTACAATATTTTGAAAATGTAAATTTTAATTGTAAAATCATTAGTTTCTTATATATCTATAAATTTTGTAAAAAGTGTTCACCAATTGAAGCTCACTTGTTACTAGGAGCATCTTCAACCTAAATTCAAATCCTCAATTTTTTGAGATTTTTGTCATTCCAACCAAATTTCAAATCTTCAAATTTTGAGGTTTTGAATAGTGACACCTCAAATTTGAGTTTTCAGTGTTTAAAACTCAAAACTACTATTCATTTTTTTTAGTTTTTGCAATTATTTTCTTTCACAAATACATCCACTAACTTTATTTGGAGTAAGTTAAATACACTAAAATAAAATATAATATAATAAATAGTTCATAACATTAAAAAAAAAATTACACAAATAGAAAAATACATTAGATAAAACTCATATAAAATAAAAATACATTACACAAACTTAACATAAATTGAAACAAATTATATAAGCATTTATTTGTTACATCTCTTACAAATAGTATTTTATATGTAATTTTCTAAATTTGTGTGTATGTGTGTTGTTTTATTATATAGATAACTTCTATTATTTTTATTATGTAATATAATATTATTGTGTGTTATATAATATATTAAAAGTATGTTTTATATGTATTTTGTGAAGTTTTATCATTATTAATAACTTTTATTAATATTAAAGACTATAATACAAATAATATAAATTTTTAAGGATTTTTTTAAGGTTTCATTGGTTAGAGAAACCAACCCTTAAATTCTCATTTTGAAGTTTTAATCTTCTTAAAATGAAGTCTTGGATTAGAGATGCTCTTACCATGATGTTCCTAGTTGTTACTGATTAAAAAGGATCTATAATAATGGGTTGTTTTCTTGTTTTATTTAACTTTCAATCTCCATTTCCTCTTTTTTGGGGACAAACCGTCTCTGTTTCCTCTTATTCTTTCGTTTCGCCGAGTAATTTTCTTTGATTAATCTTTAATCTCTTACCCATCGGCCATCAGGCAAAAGAAAAAAGAAAAAAAATCTCACCAGTTGGAAAGTTATCTCACAACCAAAAGAGCAGTATAATCCACTAATCCAGTGAGTAGTTAGCTGTGAAACTAAAAAAAAATACAGAAGATTTAACGGTTATGTAGTTTTCTCATTATGGAAGATAAATACTAAACAATCATATTTTATTAAATTGTGTAAAATAATAACGACGAATTTCTTTTCATCAGAAAAGACATCTAATTAGGTGCGACCCGGTCTCATATCATTTTTATTTTAGTTACTAAAAGAACATGTTATGTATTAGTAGACTCGCAAACTGAAGGACAACTTACAAATCAGGCCATGGTTCATGTATCCGGTTAATTACTACTCGATCCTACTATCTTTTGTTTCTGTTTAAGAGTCTGTTTTGTAAGAGTTTTGCGCAATCATAGAATCTTTGACGTAGCACAAGAGAACGTTATGTTTTCTAAACACAACAGAAGCTCCAAAGAATTAGAAAAGAGGTCTGTGATCTTTCACCATACCAGTGTCACTAATCACAATCTAGAGGATACTGATTTCATGTTTTAACACAAAAAAGTTCAAATGGCTATTGGAAACAAAAGAACACCTCCACAGGTTTGTGGGACGCATTGCTGTGATAATTACACATTTCATTAAATGGATGGTCAAGTCAGTTCACTTCTACTTGAGAATCTTTGCACTCGTTTTATCCATCAGATGTTAAATCTCTTGCATGGAAGTGGATTCAGGTATATGTTGTGAGGATAGTGAACAATGGCGAGTCTATTAAGTTGCAGCTTTGCTCCCTTGCCAAGATTCTAGACAATTCACCTAATGCTATGTACATTTCATTTTGTGCAATAGCAGCAACAAGACAACGTGTGTTATTAAAGCAAATGCCAGCTTTGTAGCAGTATTACAAAGATCTCTTCTATATGTCAAATATACTAATGACAAAACTATCAATTGCCGTTTTATTTACATGATTAGTCGATCCCCCGGTTAACAAAAAATGACAAAAGGGACTAGGAACTGTTAGGTGGTGGTGGCTTCATCTTTGACAGAATAAAACGGCACGTTGAGAAAATGGAAGCTGCAGCTGCCTGAACCGCCAAATTAGTCTTCTGATTGGTGCCATCTTTCCCACAACTGCAAGATGTATTTGTACAGCAAGAAAAGTGGTTAAACCGTGTCCTTTTTAAACGCCTTCTACAAGACTGTTTGGTCTTGAATTTCCTCACCTTGACTCATTCATTTGTCGTAGACCTTCGTTGCATTGTGACTGCATATCCTTCACTTGGTTTAAACAATGTTCCTGCAAGTTTCCAAATCCGTAGTGTCAGTCAATACATCAAACACTGTTTATAATCCTTCCAACTTGAAAGGCAGGTAGATAAGTATGTAACGCACAAGATCTTGCTCTTCATCATGGAGATGTTTCTTAAACTGATTAAATCTTGCAGACCAGTTCAACCGATGCGCCTCTGTTACTGTACATTCTTGGTTGGCAGAAGAAGATTCTTTTGATGATGAGACGAGAAGTGGCAACTCTGCCTTCAAAGTATCATCAACTCTATTCCTACTATCCTGCAAAGCTGCAACAAAAAAACATTATCATAAGATCTCAGAGTCACAGTTATAACTTGAGAGTAGTCTATTTCTTTAATTAAGTAAATACACAAACCTGAAATCCTTTCGCTGAAGTCTTGGTGAAGAAACTCCAACCACTGTGACGCTACAGTAGCAGCTTAAAAAAAGAATACAAAACAAAACAAAACAAAACATTTGTTTCCTTTTTAAGCATTCACTTCTGCAATGGATTAATCATCAAGCAATGCACCTAACCTTCAACAGCTTGTTCCGGGTTTATAAAAGAAATGGCATGATCATCAGATACCGTGGTAGATGGCAACTTAGAGGCTAATACCTTATCTAAGCATCCATGATAAACACAAGAGTGATCAAAAGACTAAACTGGCTAATAAAACATTACATCCTAATGAGAGGGAATGATATATATAGATTATACCTCTTACATTCAAATCAGCATTTCGAATCAAAGCTTCAAGAAATGAGTAAACCTGTTCCTTACTCCTGACATTTTTAAGGATCCCTGGTTTCAATTCCGCTAGCAACCCACTTGGCGGTGTAGTAACATTCGAGACCACCACCACCTTTTGGTCTTTCTTAGGGACCACGTTTCTCTTCTTGGAAGAATCGCCTCTCTTCTTATTTTTTCGCTTCCTTGACGCAACAGGTCCACCCAAAGGGCCAGAAAGAAAACCATTCTCCTTCATTTCCATCCACCTCCGCATAGGATCTGACTTTTCCGATGGACTAACAACAGATTTAGTAGTAACCTCTTTAGGTTTCAAGACGCTGATATTGTTAGAAACGGCATCAAAGTGTACTCCTCCTCGTGTCTCACAGTAGTTACTATCATCATTACCATTAGGAGTCTCAGTCAAAGTATTATTAGGAACTAATCTATCATCATCTTTAGAAACTGAGGTGGCCTTAGTTACGACGCATGTATTTACATCTTTAGCCAAAACATCTGTAACAACAATAACCATTTAAAGCAGGAAACTTTTTATTAGATGACTTCTTTAAATCTGAATTTTGAGTACTATTCGCTCTTCTAAGTTAAAAACAAAGCAGAAGATCGATAGTTACCAGAAGCGAGGTCTTGCAGTTCATCATTCTTGTCTGGACCATCTTCGTTACGGTTCTCGCGGGAAAGCTGAGAAATTTGGGAAACCCAAGAGACAGAGAACACAACCCATTAAACCAAATTGCAACTATTAACGAAGAAGAAAAGAAAGCAAGATTTAAGGAGGAAGAAGAACCTCAGATGAAGTTTCTTTATTTTCGTCCATCATCACCAGAAGTAAGATCGATTTGGAAGAAAAAATCCAGATGCTCAGAAGGAGTGCAGGCCAAGGAAAATGAACGGTTTCTTGGTGACAGAGTCTGAGTGTTGAATGGAGTGGAGATGCATAAAGATTTGGGGGGACAGAATCGATGAAGAAGAAAGGGCTTTTGAATTCAAATTGATAAATGAACAGTTTTTTTTCTTTCATACTTATAAAGGTCGCGTTTTTTCACCCCCTTTTAATAGTAGTAGATTCTCCAAGTAGAGTAGGGCGCTTCTCGTATTATATAAACACCCGCGTAAATTAGCAAATGTCATTTTCGCTAATCATCTAATTAGTTTTAAGTCTGTACTTTTCTCTACTAACTCAATTGCTCGGTTCAGTAGTGGTTATACAGTTTATTTATTCCAACACACAACAAAGTATAAAAACAGAGCATATACTACCCCAAGTATGTGTGTATTTTTTTTTAACACAACCCCAAGTATGTAGACGTATAGTTGCTTTTTGGAACAACACAATTATCTTAAGGCATATCTTATGGCAGAAATTTCTCCATCTGAGCCTCATGAATTCTCCAGTTAGAATTCTCAATTGTTCATCTTCTTACTCCATCATTCGTTAGAATAATGTTGTTGATTCATTTTTAGGCTTATCAGGCATAACAAACTTCTTTGAAGAAACTGCAACGATAAAACGAACATGACTATATATATATTCAGTGTCACAAAAATTGGAACCAACAATCAAAACGTATAGTTTCTTTATGAGCAACACATGATCATCTTAAGGCATGGTTCTTTTTTACAACACTACTCATCACATAATGACTATTACATCTCAAGGTTCATCAGTCTCCACATCGGACCTTAACTAACTTGGGAACAACTTTGGTCTATAACACTATATGAACTTGAGGTGTATTATTTAGAATGGCAATCATATATGCTATACTCTATTGCAACTTATAGTACTAAAATGAAGAGAGATTTACTTAAATATCTTATCACCAACACATTAATATGTCTTCTTGATAGGGTTGTGGTGTGGTTCAAACATGTGTATTCTTCATACCTTTAATCAAGCCTATCTTAAGAGATGACTGTGCTTTAAGTTGAGTTAATTGACTTTAGAAAAAGGGTTGAGACTGTTTTTTAATAATCGGCTATTCTCTCTGTTCACTGTACAAAAAAACTAACAAAATAATCTTAGTATAACCTCACAAAAGTTTAACCAATTACACATTCTTAACTTTAAATAGAGAGAAAAACATTTTTAAAGACGATTTTAAAATTTTGTACCAATATGCATCCAAAATATCACAAATGAAAATTACTTAAATTTGGAAAAGAATCATTCTTTTCTAAATTCACGATTTGGTGGAATTAAATTATTAGTAAAGTATCTAAACAAAAACAGCAACAAATGTGGTTGGATTTTGTATGGTTAAAAAAACATGCATAAGAACAAATACAAATCACGTATCTGTAGATTCTTAATTACTTCTTAATTTGCTTCCTAAAACGACGTCGTGCTATCACCTTCAGACATAAAAAACGCTAAATCTGAATCTCTCTTTCGCTGTCCGATTCCGACAGATAGACATAGAGAAGAGAGAGATTTGACCCCAAAAAAAAAAACACAGAAGAGAGAGAACAGGCGCGAAACACAGAGAGAAGGAGACGATCCAAACACAATGAATGATCCTTCAGACACGAAACCCAACCAATGCCCACCTCTATCCACCCCAGCTCCTTCATCAACGCCGTTCCGTGGACCCTACCACCGGCGAGCACATTCGGAGATTCAATTCCGTCTCCCTGAAGATCTAGATCTCTCTGAACCGTTCGGAGGGTTCGACGAGCTTGGATCCGAAGATGACCTCTTCTGCTCTTACATGGACATTGAGAAACTCGGATCCGGATCCGATTCTGCTGGACCGTCGGGTCCTAAGTCCGAGAACCCGTTTTCGGAGGCTGAGAATTCGAGGCCTAGACATAGGCACAGCCTTTCGGTGGATGGTGGGTCTTCGAGTTTGGAGTCGATAGAGGCTAAGAAAGCTATGGCTCCTGATAAACTCGCGGAGCTTTGGGTCGTTGACCCTAAAAGAGCTAAAAGGTTTCGTCTTTTAATCTCAAAGTTTCAGACTTTTTTTGTGTTTATGTGATGGAAAATTGAAATTTAGTTTCTGTTTATATCGTTAAGAACAGTTTCGCGGGAAAAACAAAACAGTACCTTTTGATAGTTACTTTTCGTTGAGTTTGATTCTTGAATCTCAACGGTAACTGAGTTTTAGTTAGGTTCTATGATGATGTGTTGCTTTTGCTAGGTCTTTTTTGGGTGAGAGAGATCATGAGGGTCCCCATAAAGTATGTTCTTTTGTGATTAAAATGTTGAGTTTCTATAGTAATGCGTCTCTTTTATGGTATGATGTGATGTCCCCCAACTATAGATACTTTTGGACTTGGTTTTGTTTGATTTATTGGTTCAAGCTTGTTGTACAGTTTTGTTTAGTTAGAGAACATATGTAATGATGACTTTTTGTGTATGGTACTTCTCATTTGGCTTATCATTTTGTAACATTCAAACTTTGAAGATGATCCTTTTAATTGTACGTTACCTTTTAGTAGTCAACTAGATATTTTTGGACTAGCTTTTTGTTTGATTTGTTGGTTCAAGCTTGGTGTACAATCTTGTTTGATTAGAAATCCTATCTAGTGATGACCTTTTTTGTGTAGTACTTCTCGTTTGGCTTGAAACAGTTTCATTTTGTAACATTCAAACTTTGGTTATGATCCTTTCTCACATTCCTTTTTAGTAGTCAACTATATATAGAGTTGAAAGTTATATCTTCTAGTAGCTTTGGTTAGGAAAGGCTTTACTGGCTTAGGCATTAGCTTTGTGTGGAGTTTTATATATGTAATCTCAGAGTTTCTAAATTCTGATGATCCTCTTGTAATAGCATGACTATTCTAAACTCTATAACATATAATGGTAACATTTTGCATTCTCTATTGATTGATGATGATGTAGTTATTTAATCCTGTCTTGTGCATTCTGTGCAGGATAATAGCTAACCGACAATCTGCAGCTCGTTCAAAAGAGAGAAAGGCTCGTTATATAATGGAGCTCGAGAGGAAAGTACAGACCTTGCAAACCGAAGCTACTACCCTCTCTGCACAGCTCTCTTTGTTTCAGGTTTCTTATTACAAACTTAAACACATTTTCTTCTTTACACAATTTGCATTTAGGGAAAACAGTACTCAGTTTCTCATCTACTGTCTAATAACTTGCTTCTTACAGAGAGACACAACTGGTTTATCATCTGAGAACACAGAGCTCAAGCTTCGTTTACAAGTCATGGAACAACAAGCCAAGTTGCGAGATGGTATGCAAACCTCTCCCCTCTTTTCTGTTTCTTTTTTAAGTCCATTTTATTGATAAGTCTTCTCTACTGCAGCACTGAACGACCAACTGAAAAAGGAAGTGGAGAGGCTTAAATTCGCCACGGGAGAAGTCTCACACGCTGATGCTTATAACCTCCAAATGGCACACATGCAATACTCTCAACAACAACAACATCAACAACAACAACAACAACATCAACAACAACAACAATTCTTTCAACAGCATCATCAGCAACAACAACAAACTGATGCTCAAAACTTGCAACAAATGACTCATCAGTTTCATCTCTTCCAGCCTAACAACAACAACAACCAGAACCAGAACCAAAACCCTCAGTTTATGCATCACACTACTTCTAATGCCTCTGGTCAGTCTCATTCCTTTGCAGAGGCAATGCATGAAGACCATCTTGGCAGGTTACAGGGGCTTGACATTAGCAGCTGTGGCAGAGGCTCAAACTTTGGTAGGTCTGACACCGTCAGTGAAAGCAGCAGCACCATGTGAAGCTCTGCCTTTGTCGATAAAACCTTATTCTTTTGCTCTCCCTTGACCGTCGCTGATTCATTTTTTTTTTTTTTTATAATTCTGTAAAACTGGTTTTAAGTTTCAATTTAGAGACCACAGGTGTTTTAACTTGTCTGATTTATTATGTTTTCTGATTCATTTTTATGTTCTCTTGCTTGCTTCACTAGTTGCTTCTTTAACCATCCCTGTAAATGGTGGTTGTATTTGGATTTGGCTTTGCCTTAAACTAGAGAAGAAATTGTTTGTTTTACAAGTCTTTCACATCATAGTTCCTTACTGCTTTAGCTTGAAGCACAAGTTTCTTTTGACTTCTATAATAACCCTAACATCTGAAATCACTTGACTGTTTTTTTTCAGTTTTGTAAAATTACACTATGATTCAACTACTGCAGAAGAATATAATTTCATCAAAATCGTTCTACGGGGCATATTAGATATAAATGAAACGATTTTTTAGAATAATATTTTTTAAATCGGTCTAGACACCCAAAACATCAGTTAAACACCCATTTAATCAATAATCTTGTATAAAGCGTTTATAAAAACCAATTTATTGAACATTGCTTTCATCACAAAGTTATACAGATTTTGAAAAGGCGCACTTAAGTTTACAAACTATAGTAGGGTTACTTGTTAAACCGAGTCAAAACACAAATTACATGAACCAAACTAGTCATGTTGAGGCCACTACAACGGTATCCTAACTACCAAGCAACAGAATTAAATACTCACATGAGAATTTCTGAACTATATCTTCAGAAAAGCTTTAACTGAACTTGAGTTTATCTTGTGTCGCCTCAAAATTTGGGTCACTGAAATGACGTTCTCTTTAGACAGTGACTGTTCTTCAGGCACGTAGTTATGATCAGTCCCAGCAGTTTTGGGGCAACTAAGAGACAATCACCTTGTGATGGTTGCTCAAAAGTGTGGTCCCTTTTGTTTTCTTTTGGTACATTCTGGATAGATATCACGTGACCTTTTTGTGGATACAACTCAACAGTTCCTTTCTGTTTGTTTTCAGTCTAATTCTTGCTCTACTTCCTGCTTCAGTATAGATGAGGATATAGATAGATGCATGATTGTAAGTTTAAAGCTTTTTGTGACAAGCAACTTAAGCATTTACAGTCGTCCGATTAAGTTGGTAGCTAAGTGTGCAACACTTAGAGTGGCTCCCAAACTTTTAACTATTAAACAAACGAACTCAACCACTTGAAGATTCTTTGTCAAGAACAACTTACCCAAACAAGGTGATAGTTTTCAAAAAGTAAAGCTAATCCCATTGTCTATCTTTAATAGTATATTTTATCATACATGATACATGTAGCAGCTTCTGTTGGCTATCTAATAGTCTTATTATTATTTTATCGTTTTTTTTGTTAAAGATTATTATTTTTTTTGTTGGAGTTTTATTTTCTTGTTGGAGTTTTATTATGAAAATATTGACACCTACATCCATTAAACATTGAATTTGCCTACATCCATTAAACATTGAATTTGCCGGATAAAATGCCGGAAAAAATCTCATTTCTACAAATTAGGGAATCACGAAAGAACCTAGTTAAAAACGAACTATATATGGCTATGTTACGTTGATCACATTTTAGAGTGTCTAAAATTTAGACATAGAAGCTAATAGAAGGGCCACGAAAATGACGTATCAAATTGCATGAGAGGAGCCTCACACGTCAAGGGCCTCTTGCATGTGCTTGTAACATGGTAGGACCATCTAATTGACCACTTACTAATTCTCTTTGATTAATTGAAGTGGCCTCTCTTGGCGATGAATAAAAGTAGCTAAGCGAAATAATATCAGCAATCAAATCCCAAAATTAAAACATTATCACTTACTATTTTCTCTTTGATTCATTATAGTGACCTCTCTAGTCAATCCATAAATAGCTAAGCCATATAACATCAGAAATCAAACCCCAAAACCAAAATTATGAATATCACTACATCCCTATTCAAATGTGCTCACATTAACCTTAAAGATTAGCACTATGTAAATGGATCAATAAGAAATAAAGATTACATCATAAATGTTCTGAACTAATTCTAGTTTTTTACTGATATCTCATCTCATAAGTTTGTCAAAAGAATTGTAAGTGGCTTTGAACATACTGGAGTCATTAATTTGTAGTACTCTACAACACAAATAAGAGAAATGTTCTTATAACCAACGCAAAATGATGGAAGATACCAAAGCGTTAATAGTTTAATGGTATTGCAAAGGGGTTAGTTTTAATTTTTGAGCTCAAACCTTTTTAGTACCAAATGTTATATTAAATCTGAATTTTTATAGTTAAAGAGATTAAGAATCTAATACCAAGATTTTCCACAATCTATGTGGAAGAGACAAATTAATAAAGACTAGTGTATTGAAGCATGTGGAAGTAGGGCCACTTGATTAGTAATCGCAGTTACTCTAACCGCAACATTTGCATGTGCCTACAACCTTCAAAGTCTCCCTGATTTTATACAATCATAAATACAAACATTTTCCTCTATTTTCCTAACTGTTTAATTTGTTGTTCACATATATTATACAATTACATAAAATATAAATTTGGCCGCAACAAAAACCTTTAAGAAAATAAAATCTTGACCATACTCACGATAAACGGTGGCATACATTGTTGACTTTTACGGCTTGTTATCCAAACAAGTTACACATTAAGGAAACTATATGTAATATTATTGCATGGATGAATACCAATAATTGATAAGGAGATACATTGGGATTTAACGAGAAATAACAGGCACAATCCTCTCGCAAATTGGCTAGAGAACATTTGAATAAAATATTTGAATGCCCAAAAAGGTGAAAGAAGAGACACACCAATATATAAATAAATAAACATTTTTTATAACAAATATTATCTCTTGACACTATTATAAAATTCCAAAACTTCTCTATATAAACTCAATCCCTCCACACTTAATTCCATATCACTCTCACGTTTCTCACCAAATCATATCCAATACTCTAAACCGAATTAACCAACACCTCTTCTAAACAAAAACAAAAATGTATAGTATAACATCAAACACCAAATATTCTTTGATCTTAATACTATCCATATCCAGCTTATTATTCTCCCTCCAAGGAACTCATGGAGACTACGGAGGTTGGCAAGGTGGTCACGCCACTTTCTACGGTGGCGGCGATGCTTCCGGCACCATGGGTATAACCAAGAAAATAAAATATGCTTATGTTAGCTTATGCTAATTAAATCTTTTATAAGTGCGTATGTTAGCTAACATGTGACCTACATAAATATTCATCAGGTGGAGCTTGTGGCTATGGTAATCTGTATAGCCAAGGCTACGGGACGAACACGGCTGCTTTAAGTACTGCTCTGTTTAACAACGGCCTCACGTGCGGGGCGTGCTACGAGATGAAGTGCAACGATGACCCGAGATGGTGTCTAGGCTCCACTATCACCGTTACGGCTACAAACTTTTGTCCACCGAACTTTGGTCTCTCTAACGACAACGGTGGATGGTGTAATCCTCCTCTTCAACATTTCGACCTAGCCGAGCCAGCTTTTCTCCAAATCGCTCAGTATCGTGCCGGCATTGTTCCTGTCTCTTTCCGAAGGTTCGTTTTACTTATCTTAATGCTTGGGATGCAAGTAATAAAGTTGCAATTATCAAGGGTTTCTTATTTCAAACCTAATTTCTCACATTTTTTAACATTAAGGTGTAAACTTGGATCGTCTGTCTTTTAGCATTTACAAGTGAAACGGTCAAATATAATTCCGGTCCTAAAACAAAATAAAATATTACATTTAAAAAAATAAATGTATAAGTTTGGATTTAAATTCTTTAAGTTTTAATAAGTTTCTAATTCGAGGATTTATAATTTCAAAAAATTAAATATAGATGGATCTAATAATTTTTAAAATTATATTATCACCTTTTTAGTTATTGTTAATACTTTTTTGAACATGATATAGAAATGATTTGGATGATACTGCCGTTTGTTTTTAGCTCTGGAAAACATATAGTTAAAACCAAACTAATGAGTTAGATATGTTTGTTGTGTAAATGCAGAGTACCGTGTATGAAGAAAGGAGGGATAAGGTTTACGATCAACGGACACTCTTACTTCAACCTTGTTCTGATCACGAACGTAGGAGGAGCAGGAGACGTCCATGCCGTCTCCATCAGAGGCTCAAAAACAGGCTCGTGGCAAGCAATGTCTAGGAACTGGGGCCAAAACTGGCAGAGCAATTCTTACCTCAATGGCCAGAGCCTCTCGTTCCAGGTTACCACCAGCGATGGTCGGACAGTCGTTAGCAATGACGTGGCTCCTTCTAACTGGCAGTTCGGACAAACCTTCCAAGGCGGTCAGTTCTGAGTCCACACTCTCTATGTGTTTGGGGTGCTGATGTGGCTGAGGTTGCTCGTATGAACCCGCTAGACTTAGCCTTCTTACCTTTTTTGTGTGCTTCTTAGAATCTTATTTACGAGTTGTTGCTTTCAATGATTGTCTTTGTCGTGCCTACAAAAGGCAACCTTTTTTCATTTTCTTGATTTTATATGTTTATTGTCTTAGTATAATGAAATCAATAAACCAGATTTATATTAGATATCTCCTACTTTTCTATATTTAAAAAAAAAAAAAAAATAGAAGAACTCTATTGCAAAGTTGAATTTATTCCAATGTATACTTCTATAATTTTTTATTTTTATTTTTAGAGAATAAAAATTGAGTAATTTTATTATCGAAACATACATTTAAATAAAAGCCATCTACGAAATAATTTTTTTTCTACTTTAAAAAAAAAAATATATAGACATTGACATGGTCTTACCAACAAAAGAGCAGGTTAACTTTTGGAGTCAAAGTCAACTGTCGTTACAAGTTGATAACCGCGTGAAAGAATAGCATCCTCGTCTCTGTTCTTGATCTTCTATTTTCAAAAAACGGCAAGATTCACGTCAGAGACTTAAAGCAAAAGCTGTAACCAAACAAGTTATGGAATGTGACGGCAAAGAAGTTGCATTCAAGTTGTCAGAAAATTGTGTTCTCAAGATCGTTAAAGGCAACATCACCGAGTGGTCCGTAGATGGCTCATCCGATGCTATTGTGAGTTCTTTTTCTTGCTCTTTTCCTCCTTTAGATCAGGTTCCTAGAAAATCAGAAGGCTGATAACAATTTGATTGACACTAGAGTCATCTGAATAGGAAAAGGCTGTTTACTTTTGACATCTTGATATTATTTAGTATGAACTTGGAAATTATAGAAAGTTTGATTGGTTCAGGTTAATCCGGCTAATGAGCGTATGCTAGGTGGTAATGGTGCAGATGGAGGTACTCTTCATTTTTTCTTTGGCTTTTGAAAAAAAAATCTCATTATTATTGATAGGATCTAACTTGTAAGTACTTTATTGGAAAGCCATTCATGATGCTGCTGGGCCACAGCTGAGAGCAGCATGTTATGACGTCCCAGAAGTTCTTCCTGGAGTCCGTTGTCCCACCGGAGAAGCAAGAATCACACTGTAGGTTTTGATTTCACTTCTTTTTTTTTCTCCTCTCCTCTTTTGTGTGTAATGTTGTGAGTTTTATGAGCTTGTTGACTGTTTTCTGTGATGTAGAGGTTTCAACTTGCCTGCATCTCATGTGGTTCATACTGTTGGACCTATTTATAATGCCGAGAAGAATCCTAAGAAATTCCTAGAAAGTGCTTACAGGTAAAAAGAACAAGAAAATGCATTTTAGTTTGTGTCGTAAAATATTTATTTTTGTTCCTTGTTCACTTATGCTTTCTCTTGTTATCTTGTAGATTGTTTATCTCAATATATTTCGTTTTGGTAACAGGAACAGTCTGAGAGTGGCTAAGGAAAACAACATCCAGTACATTGCATTTACTGCTATATCTTGTGGTAGTTTCAGGTAAAAGTTATGAGATATTAATTAGAAAGGATCATAAAATTGATGTTTGTCTTGTTGGTAACATGTTTTCAAAGATTTCTTGATCTGATTGATTGTTAGGTATCCTTTGAATGAAGCTGCTTCTATAGCTATCTCCACGGTTAAAGAGTTCGGTAAAGATTTTAAAGAGGTAAATTCATTGTTCTTCCAAACTATAGCTAGCTGCATTTACCCTTGTTTCCTTTTGCCATTTTGGGTCATGAACATATCGAGATAAAACATCCGTTTGGCCTCCAATATTTAAATTTTAATATATGGTTAATATATTAATTAAAACATACGTGAAACTTCTATAAATTAATAATATTGGAATTACACCAAAATTATATTTTTTATTAATTTATAGAGATTATTAATTTATCGATATACTAACAAACAAAAAATTCAATTTGAGACTAAAATTATATTATTTTACAAAAACTTTTAGTGTATATTAATCTATAAATAGCATTATCTTATTTCGTGATTGATTTGATGCAAACTCCGTAGATTTTATGTATATTAATATTTTTAAAATGTAATTAATGTTTTCTAATTCCATGATTGATTTGATGCAAATTCCATAGATTTTATACTTGCCAATGAGGTCATTGGTCTGAACAAACACTATTTACTTTCTTGGTTAAGAAATGCTAAAAGTCCAAGAAAATACTCCTGTGACAAGTGCTGGATCTTCCCCAGGTACATTTTGTTATGTTCAGCGATGATACATACACAATGTGGGTGAACAAGGCAAAAGAGTTGCCACAAGTCCGAAGCTCATCCCCCTCGTGGAGGAAAATCAAAACTGGATTCTTCACTAAACTCAAGTGTTTTAGGTAGTTTATGCATCCCCGCGCAACACATAAACATTCCCTCATACTCATCACGTAGTAAACTTGTTATTATTCGTATCACACTATAAATGCAAAGCTTTTGAGAAAAAAAAAAGTGTATGAATCATCTCCTTCTCTTATATCTGATAAGGCGCATTTACAGGCCCATTAACAAGCCTTCCCTAAATAAAACCAAAAACATGGCGATGAATCTCTTGTTCACCTGTGGACCAGGAAGCCTGTCTCTCCCGAAACTACACTCGAGCTCGATCTTTAGCTCAACCTCTGCTCCTCCGTCGGGAGCTACACTCATCCCCGCCGAGTCACGGTTACGGAGCGATTCGTCTTCGTTTATCCTCTCTTCTCCTAAAAGGACTTCCACAGTGATAACTGTCTCAACAACCATGGTTTCTCGAGCTGTTTTCAGTTTGTCTGAATCGAGTCTTCTCAAAATAATTAAAGGTGACATCACTAAATGGTCCGTTGATGCAACCTCCGATGCTATTGTAAGCACCTCTCTTTCTCTCTATCAATTTAAATCCTAGGGCATACTAAAATTAGATGATCATCAGCTAACTATGATAAATGATTACTAGGAGTCATACTCAATAGAATTTTATCAATCCTTAGTTGATGTAACCATAGAAATACATTATAATCAGTTGTCTATTATTCACCGTTGCTTTTGACTTAAAGCAGTCTGTTTGTTCAGGTGAATCCAGCAAATGAGAGAATGTTAGGTGGTGGTGGTGCAGATGGAGGTGATTTTTTAAGAAACTTTCCCTTTTTTAATAATCTTCAAATCTATTGTCACTGCTTTGAACTGTGATTATTTTATATATGTGATAGCAATACACAGAGCTGCTGGGCCACAGTTGAGAGCAGCATGCTATGAGGTCCCTGAAGTTCGTCCTGGAGTCCGTTGTCCAACCGGTGAAGCAAGAATCACTCCGTCGGTTACTCTTTCTCCTTCTTCTCGTGTATGTATAGTAACTCGAGGTTGATTAGTTGAACATGTTGAATTTGAAAAAAAAACTGGAACAGGGGTTTTAACTTGCCTGCTTCCCATGTGATTCACACTGTTGGTCCCATCTATGACTCTGATGTCAACCCTAAAGAATCCCTCACCAGTTCTTACAGGTAACCGGAGTGTCTCCTGTCTAACCCTAATTGAGTGTGGTTTCTTCCAGGCATAACTTAGTTCATCTCTCTGTTTTACTACAGAAATAGTCTGAGAGTGGCTAAGGAAAACAACATCAAGTACATTGCATTCCCTGCCATATCTTGTGGGATCTACGGGTAAATTTGTCTCGACCAGATACTCTTAAGACATTGGTATTGTTTCAGTTTTCTCTAGTTAGGTTTTTGCTCTTAGAATGTCATATGCTTGAACACACTTTTTTTGTGTGCAAAGTGAAAAGGAAAAACTTGCGTACCCAATGTATTGTTCTTTGTTGTTTAGATATCCTTTTGATGAAGCAGCTGTGGTCGGTATATCAACGATCAAAGAGTTCGCCAATGACTTTAAAGAGGTAACGGTTGCTTCTCTCTCTCTCTCTCTCTAGTCCATATTGTCGTACGTCCATGGAATCAATGCAGTAACTGACACCTTTTTTGTTTTTAACAACCTCGTATTGTCATCAGGTGCATTTTGTTTTGTTCGCCGATGATATTTATAGCGTGTGGGTTAGCAAAGCAAAGGAGGTGCTAGAAAATGCTTAAGATTCCCTCTGCATGCCCAAGTAAACATAAATAAAAAAAAGTTTGCTATGTGTGTGTTGTGTGATGAGCGCCTTGTGATAACTCCACACAAAAGAAACATTTTGTTATTTGTGTTAGTGTGATGAGAGCCTTTGTGATGGTTCGTAAAATGGTTATGGTTTTTTAAGGATTGTCTTTTGCTTTTATACAATCTTTGCTATACCAAAACCAGTAGCTGTCCTGGGTAGAAGCATTATAAGCATTTGTTTTCGGCCGTTAAAATAAAATAAAGTGTTTAGCAATTTTTGACAAATATTATTATAGGTCCGATAGTTAAGTAGAATTTGTTTCTCACATAGGTAACAAGTTCAAATCGGTTTTTTTTTTATGGGGAGTTTTCAGCCTTTGTTTTCTTTTAGTGTATTTCAGGGCTGGGCCTGACCAAAACACATACTACAAATAAAGCAACTTGGTTGCCAGTTAAAAAATTAATGACCTAAAATTATGATTAAAAAAGTTCTAAGAAATACTGTAGTATAACAAATATTGAAGAATATAAATTAAGATGAATTTCAACAACAAAAGGGGGAAATAATAATAGGTTGAATTTATGTTATAAAAAAAGGTTGAATTAAGAAAATCCAAGGCTAAAGAGAATTAAATGATGTCTTGCATTATTGCATTGTTTTATCTACTCTTTTGCATATCTTTTCATCATGTAGGTTAGGTTCTAGCCATGTTTAGGTTGCATTTTGCATACATGAGTCCCCTTTAGGTATTGGAGTTTCACATGGAAGCTTTGGAGACATTTGGGGTTCATTAGAGGTTCAAAAGAAGCAAAAGGAGTGATCTAGACCCGGA